ATTCAAAAGACAGGAAAAATAAGAAAGGAGGCAAACAGAAATAAACAGATTAGTGCACGATAGCAGTGCTGACACCCAGGAGCAGGGCGGTGTTTTGGGCTTGGAAGCAGAGGAGTGTTGGATCCATCTGCAAACCAGGTCACCGCTGCTGGCGTGAGCTCTCTGGGGCCCCTTTGGATCACACCATGATTTCTCTTCCTCCCAGCTCCCAGCAGCTGGGATTACTTCTCACGTACTGCACTCACATAATTGCCACAATAATTTCTGAGATCCTGTCCCTTTTCCTTCCCTTTTCTTCCATTCTCCTTCCCTTCTCCTTTCCCTTTCCCTTACCTGTCCCTTTCCTTTTTCCTTCGCTTCCCTTTTTTCTTCCCTCTCCTCTCCTCTCCTCTCCTCTCCTCTCCTCTCCTCTCCTCTCCTCTCCTCTCCTCTCCTCTCCTCTCCTCTCCTCTCCTCTCCTCTCCTCTCCTCTCCTCTCCTCTCCTCTCCTCTCCTCTCCTCTCCTCTCCTCTCCTCTCCTCTCCTCTCCTCTCCTCCCTTCCCCTCCCTTCTATCTCCCTCTCCCTTTCTTTCTCCCCTTCTTCCCCTTCCATTTCCCTCCCCCTGCCCTTCCTCTTCTCCTTCCTCTTTCCCTTTCCCTGTCCTCTTTCTTCTCTCCCCTTTCCTCTTCCCTTTCCTCTTTTCTTTCCTTCCCCCTTCCCTTTCCTTTTTCCTTTCCTTCCTTTTCCCCTTTATGGGATTTCACTGCTGCCTCCTGTCCCACTTTGGCATCCCACAACACAGGGCTCATGCACACACACACAGAGTGCTACACAGCACAGCTGCTGCCTGTGTTTGCCATCAGGATGCTCACACCAAAATTTCAGCAACCATCACACCCCGAGCACCCTGGGCTGCTCGCAGTCCCACTTCCCACATTCACCCTGCAAAATCCCCACCAAGAACCTGTCGGTGCTGGCACCCCGCACCAGCTCACGGGTCAGGCTGTCAGCCTCCTGCAGTATATTTAGCACTGGTTTCGTGGAGGCTCTGTGCATTCCCATCTCCTTCACTCCTGACGTGCTAAGTAGATGCAGGAGGCAGTGAGCAGCCTGCGAGGACACCGTGCGTGGTGATGGGATGTTGGCCTGATCCCCAGGATCCCAGGGCAGCCCACACGTGGAAAGTGTCACTCTGCTTTTCCTTTTTTATTACTATGATATATTTTTTTTCTTTTTTAAGAATGAATGAAAAACAAGAGAGGTGCTCAGAAAAGCCAGTTCACCCGACAGCCAGTCTGGAGACCAGCGAGGATCCAACTGTTCTGATTCCTGGATGGCTCAGCTGTAGGATGACAGAGGCAGCAGCCATGAAAACTTGTCCCAGCGAGAGCAATTTGCGTGCACTATTGAGAAAGCAGCCCTGAGACAAGTTCCTGTGGGTCTGTAAGGGAACAAAGAACATGGAGTTAAGGCTTCGAGTGGAGGAGAAGGTGAGCACTCGGTGTTCTGATCGGTTTTTGCTTCTGATTTTTGCCTTCTGGGCATGTGGGAATGAGCCCCCAGAGCAACCCAACACAACTTCAGGCTCCATGCCTCCACCCAGCACTGCTGGCCACCGGTGAGGACCTGCTGCATCAAACCCTTTCATCCAAGCAGGATGCATGGCTCTAAACCTGCCGTTTAGCTCCGTTTGTTCAAGTGGAAAACACAGAAATCAGAGCCTCTGGCAGGTAATGCTGTGTCGGATGGGGTGTGGTGAGCGCTGCGAGCAAATGGAGAGGAGAAATGGAATAGCTGGGAGATGAGCATTGCGAGCAGGGGTGTGCACCCTAAACAGGAGGGTTAACCAGGGCTTATTCAGAAGGAAGGCAGTAATTGCAGCCTGTGTGAAGCAGTAATATCCTTTTGTGCATTATTTACCCGGGAACATCTGCTAATACATATACATTCTACGGTGCATGTAAACAACCTGCGCAGGAAGAGGATTAGGAGATTTATAAAAAATTAGAAGCGAGTTAAAAGGGCAATTAGAAGAGCAGAAAGAGATATTGAGCAGTGAATTAGAGAGGATATTTTAACACACAATCAGAGCTTCCCGAGACGTATCCAGAGCAGAGAGAAGGTAAAAGAGAAAATTGGTCAATTACGCCATGATAGCGGGGAATTGGTGACATGGGAGAAGGTAATGGCTGATTTGTTAAACAGTTATTTTGATTCTGTTTGCAGAAAGGAGGAAGAGGATGGAGGGCACTGCAGGAAAGGACTCAAGCTGAGCAGATGAAACAGGGAATGAACCACGGAGAAATAAAGACTTGTTGTAGAGCAGATGGATGTGGGCAGAATTTCACCCGTATCCGCCGGATGGGGGGAAAATGAATTTATTTATGTTGCTTGGATGCACAGAGCTGGCTTTGGCCCTCCAGCCATAGAGCTATCGAGGTGGACCCAGAGACAAAAAGTCCTTCTGCCTTGGGAGGAGGACGGAGCATGTAGAAGGACAGATGGATGAACGTGCATAGCATGGTGCTCATGGTGCATCCTCTACGTGTGGATGGAGGTGGTTGGGCTCTCAGCGATGCCACCATACCACCTTCCCAGAAACAACTTTTGTCACTGCTGTGGCCATGTGTCCTTTTGTTGTATTTGCTGTTGTTTCTCTTCCAGCCTGCAGACCTCAACATGGCAAGCCATGCAAGCATGTTTCCCATCGCTGTTCCCATCTGTACGCTGGTATTGGCCAAGTCGTGTTTTACTGGGGCGAGATGCAAGGGATGGCAAAGAGGAATAATGTCATCCCACGAGATCTCAAGGAGATTGTAAGCAGCAGAAAAGGGAGATGTTCACAAGCATGCAATGCAAAGTGTGATCTTGGGCTGAGTTTGTGGGGTTGTGCTGGAAACTAAGGCAAAATGTGATGGAAAGCATTGGTGCTGGGTGGATTTAGGGGAGGCTGCACTTGATGGACATCAGAAATTGATCCATCGGTCCATCACTTTGGCTAAGGAGAAATGTGAAACAATGTGTTAGTTCTGCAGTCCTTCTGAAGTGGGGAGTGCATCTCACAGCAACTTGCTGAGGCAAGGGAGGTAAATTGGAAAAGACGACGTGGGCGCACAGCGTTGTCCAGGCAGCGATGGAGAACTGCCATGTGATGCTGCTTTCGCCTGGTGCACTGAACATTTATTCTCAATATCTGAGAAAGTCTTGGTTTTCGTCCTGCCTGGAGGATGAGAGACACAGCGTTGCGTGTTTTGTGTTTCCAAAGCATGTAGGAAAAGCTGTGTATTAGCAATTACAGGATGAAACTGTGGAAGAATGCTACAGTGGTGAGAAAATTGGCTCCGACTCAGGAAACGGGATTCTGCAGCCGTGAGCGCGTTTCCAGAGGCACAGTGTGGGGTCTCTTCTGGGTTCTCTTTCATTTATTTTTTTTTTTTTATGGGAAGGATTTGCATGAACAGCCCAAAGTGAGAGTGATGCAGCTTAGTGATGCAAACAAATAAAAGCAGGCACACTGGTAGAGCCTTCTCTTTTCTGACCTCTTTGGAGTGCCACCTCCTCTTGTCATCTCTAGCCCAGCTCTAGTCATCCTTGCTTCCACTGAACTGAGGGGATGAGCACTTTGGGATGGGAATTTTTGGACATGCATTTGGAAATGGGCACTTTGGGATGCATGCTTTGGGGTGCATGCTTTGAAATAGGTGCTTTGGGATGCATACTATGGGATGGGTGCTTTGGGATGAGCACTTTGGGAGGCATGCTTTGGGACACGCGTGTTGGGATGGGCACCTTGGGATGCGTTCTTTGGGATGGATGCCTTGAGATGTGTTCTTTGGGGTTGTGGGTGCACTGCCTGTGAGAAGATGGGATTTCTGCCAGCCTCACATCAGCCTTCACAATGCATGAAGACAACACTGCACGAAGAGATCGTGAGAACCACACGGGAGCCAACCAGGGGCCGCAGCAGAGCTGCACCATGCAGACGGGAAGGTAGTTATTGAGGAGAAGTGTCAGAGCGTGCCAAAAAGATTTAGTTTATCCTCAGAGAGCTGTGGTTGTAGAGGAAGAATGGGCACAGGGGGGATGGAGGTCGGGGGAAGGCAGGAGGAACATCAGAAACCTGAAGTCTGTGTCAAGTGACACTTCCTATTTAGCAGTGTATCATGTCTCCCTTCTGGTTTTTAAGCAGTAGCCTTTATTGCCAGGAGTTAGAGCACCTGATTGACAAGGCTCGTAATACACGTTGGGGTTGCCTTTATTTTTCCTACATGTTAAAGGAAAAGATACTAAAAATACAATTACGACTTGGAGCCAGGCGGTTCTAATATAATTCATCTCAGAGAGGCTCCATTTTGCCTGCTGCACCCAAATCATTTATAAAACATTAGCATCTCCAATGCTGACATCTCACTCTTATATTGTAGGAGTTACACACAGACTTAAAAAAAAAAATAAAAATTAATAAAGTGCTTCTCCTCTTCATTCTCCCACTGAGAGCTTTGATTTCCAGAGTACGAAGCAAAATAACTGACATAACAACATTCTCCACTTCTAAGGGACAGTGCCAGACTCATTCAGTTGCTATTGGTTATAGAGAGTAGGGCGTGAGGGAGCTATTTCGGATCACAGATTATTTGTTCTGGCTGCATTGGACATCCCTTTAGTGGAGGTTTAGAGCCCTGTAGAAGGAGAAGTTTGGATAGGAGCTGGAACTGAGAGGGATCAATGGAGCAAACCCTCCCTTCCTCTTCCCTGAATCCCTCCTGCTGTTTCCCAGGACCTCTTTTACAATTTGGTGCATCTCAACCTTTGGTTTTGCAGCTTCCCCGGGCAACTCCAGACCCCTCCAGGGGACCAGGTGTACTTGCCCCCTCCCCGTCCAGTTTGAGGTTCCAGGGAGGGTGTTGTGGGCTCAGCCACACAGCATCTGCCCCAAAGAACAGTATTCATGCCCAGGGACTGCATGCTGGGAGTGTGCCCCCTGAGCTGGGATACCATCACGAAATGAAGAGCAGCCAGTTCTCATCCAAGATCACTTTTATTTCCCTTGTTGCATTAACCTCAGTGTGTTTTATCTCCAATATCCACGCTGACAGGGAACTGACACCGACTGCAGAACTGGGGCAGCACCACGGGCTGCGCTGCGTGCTGCTGCCAGCTGCGCTGTGGCCCCGACGCAGAGCGGACCGGTGAGCACATCTGGACCAGTGAGTGCATAAAGCCCAGTGAGCACATCCCACCCCAGCGTCCTTGGTGAGGCTTATTTAGGGCCAAGGGGAACGTGCAGTCTGCTCCTCATCCCTCAGCTGGCCATTACCTCTTCCTGCAGCTGTCTGGGGCTATTCTCTTTCCCACCGTGGACCTGAAGCACTGGGCACAGTGCTGTTGACAGGTCCCGTGCATGCTGCACTCCTCACTTCTCCAACTCCCCGTGCCAAAACCCGTTCCTATTAAGAAAAGAAAAAACACAAACCAAACCGCTCCTGATATTGTCAGGGCCGCCTGCATCCCACAGACCTGCTGCTTGAGTGAAAACCTTAGTCCAGCTATAAAGGTCCTCACGTAACCAATGTGGCTGGAAGCCTTCAGCCCCTACATCCCCGTGGCATCGGGACCAGACGCTGCTAAGCCGCCTCTCTCTCCCCTCGCTCAGAAATTAGGACATAAGGGTGAGCTCTGGCTCTCTGCCTATGGTCTTTGTTGCGTTGCATACAGCCCCCTCCCACCCCTCCCAAAGTTTAGTGCTCTAAATTGCTAAGAACGTTGGTCCCCCGCGCGCACCGAGGCTGCCGGATGGCTTTCAGCATTTGTAGGCACTGCTGCCGATTGTGGTCTTGAGAAAAGGATATACTGTTCTGCTATAAATTCGACAATACAATCCTTAGTTCTGAAGATATAGTTTCCATATAGTTTATAAACATTATAAGACATACATATGGATAATTGAGGAGAGGGGAGGGCCTGTGCATTTGTCGGATTTGTTTGTTGGATGTGTGAACGCGGTTACAAAAAACGCACCTCCTCGCAGGTACTTCATCTCCTTAGGTTCTTTTTTTTTGTGTGTGTGTGTGTGTTTTTGTTTTGCTCTGCTTTGTTTTAATTATTCCACCTCTAACCAGTCTTTCCTTTGGTAGTTGGCTACTCCAAGCCCAGCAGGCAAGCCTTGTTCTGCTGTAGTGCCTGAGATATTCAGGGTTTTGAGATTGTCTTCTAAGAGATTTCCAGCCAACGTTGGCCTGTGGGGTTGGAGCCAAAAGGGCTAAAACGTGGGAGAACCAATGTCCTTAATACAACGAGTAGAAGTGTCCACACACTCACTTTCAGAGAAACAGTGTAGGCTTAATTGGTGATCGTTTTTACAGCAATTATGTTCCTTGCGGTCCTCGGCGGGGTCGCTCAACGGGAATTTGCAATTTTCCATTTTGTCCGGCCGTCGTCGCCGGCGGTCCCCACGATCCGGTTGGGTAAGGTTGGCTTTGTCTCGTGGTGCAGGGCTCGGCTGTTGGCCGCAATGCGTGCTAACACCTTTCCATCCGCCCGCCCGCCGCAGTCCGCGCCCGCAGACTTCTCCACGTACAAAAAAAGAAGAAGAAAAGAAACTCTGGTCCTTCGTAGACGGGTCGCAGTGCAGATCCGCTCCGCCGTGGCCGAGCTCAGCGCATGATGGCCACCAAGACCAGCACAAAGACCAGGCGCGAGGCCACGAGTCCTGCACAGCCACCCGCCGCCTGCTGCACCCCACTGGGCGCACGGATGGGCGTCCGCCGGGTGCACTTCCCTTTGCGTTTCGGGAGCCCGGTGGGCATGACGCCGAAGCTGAATTTGTGCTGATAGTCAGGCACGTAGTCGGGAAACTCGTGCCCGCTTTTGCGCGGCCCCAGCGATCCCGGCTTAAGGGTTCGGTTGCGGTTTTTGTGGCTGGTGCAGTTCTTGGCAGGGCGGCGAGGTCCCGGCCGGGCTGCAGGATGGCTGCTGTGCAAACCCTTCTCGCCACCCTTCTCCTTGGAGGAGTGGTGGGGATGGTGGGCTTTGGAGGCTCCTCTGTCTGCAGCTGAGAAAGTTTTGATCTGGTGGAGCGACTCCGAGCCCGAACAGTTCCTAAAATCTTCCGCCCTCAGCACTTTGAGGTCCTTGCCGTGCATCCGCTCGGGGGATTCGCAGATGACGTTGGAGCTGGAGCCCCGGAAACGGTGCAGCCATTCCCAGAGCGAGCGGGCCTTGCAGTCGCAGCTCCAGGGGTTTCCGTTCAGCCTGAGGAACTCGAGGGCCCCCAGGTGGGCCAGGCAGTCCCCCTGCAGCTCCGAGAGGCTGTTGTTGAACAGGAACAGGGTGGTCAGTCGCCGGAGGTCGTGGAACGCCCGCCTGTGAATCCACTGCAGCTGATTCTGATGGATGAGGAGCCTGTCCAGGTTTATTAACCCCCGGAACGTGTTCTGGTGGAGGCTCCAAAGCTTGTTTCCATGGAGAAAAAGATGGCTGAGGTTTACCAAGTCAACAAAAATGTCGTCCTGGAGGAACTCAATGTGGTTGTCTTGCAGGTAAAGGTATTGTAGGTTGTGGAGGCCACCAAAAATCCCACTGGGAAGGGAGCTGAGCCCACACTTGTACAGGTACAAGGCATGGAGTTTCACCAGCCCTTGGAAAGTGTTGGCTGCCAAAGCCCTCAGGTAGCGGTTGTCCCCCAGGTCCAGCTCTTCCAGGTTGACGAACCCCTCGAAGGTGTTGGGGTCGATGAAGGTGATGTTGTTGGAGTAGATCCAGAGGGTGACCATGGAGGGGCTGAAGTGGCCCCGCAGCAGCAGGGTGATCTGGTTGTTCTGCAGGAAGATCCGCTCGCTGTCCTCGGGGATGCCCTCGGGGATGGTGACGAAGTTGTGGGCCTGGCAGCTGACGGTCATGGGTGAAGGGTAGCAGACGCAGTCGGTGGGGCAGCTGGCAGCCCCAGGCACCTTCAGCCCCAGCAGCACCAGCAGCAGCTCCGCGAGGGCCCCTGTTTGGAGAGAGGGGAGAGTGGTGTCAGACCAGCTTTGGGGACACAGAGCCCATGTGAATTATCTGTGTGCAACAGTTTGAACATGATCTATGGGGTGTTGTCCACCTCCTCATGCTGAATTCACCTCCTGGTCAATCACCCCAAACTACATCTGTGCCATGCAACCACACAGCACACCTCAGTACTGCCCAAGGGTTGGGGCAATACAAGGTGGGTGTACAGGCTGGGAAAAGAACTCACTGAGAGCAGTAAGGAGAAGGACTTGGGGGTTCTGATGGATGAGAAGCTTGACATGACCCAGCGGTGTGTTTGTGCTATGTCAGCTGCATCTTGGGTGCACCAACAGAGGGATGGCAGCAGGGCAAGGAGGGGGATTGACCCACTCTGCTATGCCCTCGTGAGTACTCCAGATGGAGTACTGCATCCAGGTCTGGACCCCCCCCAACACAAGAAGGATGTGGAGCTGTTGGAACGGGTCCAGATGAGAGCCACGAGGATGCTCAGCAGGCTGCAGCTCCTCACCTACAAAGACACCCTGGAGGTGCTCAAGGCCACATTGGATGGAGCCCTGAGCAACCTGTTCTGCTGAGTACAGCCAACCCACAGCAAGGGGTGGAACTGGACGGGCTTTAAGATCCCTTCTAACCCAACCATTCTACAATTCCATGAATTCCGGAGGAGCTGGCTGCTTTCCACGCTGTTCCTACGCCCATGCCCTGTTAGCACCAGCACATTCCCCTGCAAACGAGTGATTTACAGAAACACGCTTTCAGCACTTGGTGGGACGGACCGAGCTGAACGCCCAGTTTGGAAGCTGGTGCTCAGACGTATTTTAAATGGATGTCCTATGGCAATGCTACAGCCTGCCTGTGGCCAGGGCTTTCTGGCTGCGGAGCAGGGAAGCGAGCAGGCAGCAATCATCCCTTCTCGGCTCAGCGCCCAGCGCCAGCCTCGCCGCCCAGCTCCCGTTGCTCTCCCACTCCTCACACCATGCCTGCTTTCAGGCGATTCCTTCTGCGTGGAGTGGCTTTTCAGACTCATTGCACCAGGCTGTCATTTCTCATTCAGATTTCCTCCCGGATCTGCTTTCCCTCTTACACACAAAATTTGCTCATGTCTAATGAATTCTGCCTCTGGACTTCACGGGAGAAAGGAGTAAAATGAGAGCAGCGTACAGCTGCCAGTGCCATCCTACCCCAGAGTCCTCATGCCGCGATTTGCTTGTAATAATCTGAAAAACAAGAGTGGAAGTGGAGTTCACCTCTAATTACTCCATGTCGTTACCACAAGACAGGCTGTGGTGCTGGACCCTTTGGGCTTTTACAGTCCTTCTTTTCGAGTGCCTACAGCTGAATATGAGTGGGAGGCAAAAAAAAAAAGAAAGAAAAAAACCTCACTGGTTTCTTATTAATGTTGTTTGAAATATAACTCGCCTTCTGCCGGGGATGGAGATCTATTACTGGGGAGCTAATAGCAGGTGACCTGTCCATCTGGACCCACTCTTTCAAGGCAAAGTTGTCATGTTTTTAGATAAACTGGTTACTCAGGCTCTCATAAATTAGCGGGGAGAGGCAGCCACCTCTGACTGCACTGCTCTACTTTTTTCAAAGAATAGCAATGCTAGCCAAACTGTTGGGCCAAGCCTCTGCTGGGATGGGGATAGCAATGGGGATAGAAATACAGATGGGGATTTGGGCTTTCTACAGGCTCTACCCTGCAGGAATGAAGGCTGCAGGGAGGGATGGCTCATTCCTGCACTGCTGCCAGAAAAGGGCTGTAGTCAGGAGTTCTTCATCCGCGACAACTCCTACGGCTGTGTAGGAAAGGGAATGTTCTCCAAGCCACCACCGTGCACTTGCCATGGGGCAAGGGGCCATGATTCAGGCAAGACTGCTCCTGGGCTGCCCTGCATTTCCAGCCAAGCACCTCTCTGGTGCTAATCTCAGGGATATCCTGATTACAGTTGCAGATAGGTGCAGAATTGCTTTCTGCTCTTCTTGTTCCTTTATAACCCACAGATACACTCTGCTGAGGCGGGACAGCTCTGTGTTCCCAGCTCCACCCGAGTCACACTGAGCCACAAAGAGTCGTGTAGCTCTTATATTTATTAGTAAAATCCTGCCAAGCACAAGCACAGTGACAATCTCCCACATGCGGAGTCTGTTATTGCAAATACCAAATCACAAGGGTTTGAATCAATAAACCATCTCCCAGCTATGAGCAGCAGGTTGGAAGATTACATATTGCTTCCCAATGCTGGTTTTATGCGCTGTTCCGTGACACGATAGTTGCCAGGCTAACAGGATTACTGGTGGGAGGAGGAGCTGGGCAGGGCTTGCGTAGCATCCCGAATTTCACGTCTAGGAGGTGATGGCAGGCGGCTGCCAGCGATGCTCAGCGATGGATGGGATGTATGGGGAGCAAGGAGCTGCACTTTTGGAAGGGAGAATGGAGATTCACGGTCCCCGATGGCTCTGGAGGTGAAGGGCAGGAGGATCTGTGCTTGTATCTTTAATTAAAGGTGTGAGTTAATGGCCGAAGTGCCAATGGAAGAGGAGTTGATTCCTTTGGGATGGGTGTTGCCGGTGGTTCTCCTCTTCCAGCAGGAAAGATGGTAGGAGGGAAGGCCAGGGATTTCATCCTACCTACAGGCTGCAGTTTTGGAGACAAAGAGAATGTGGAAACAAAAAGGAAGGATGCTCAGAAGCAGCGATAACGTGGTGAGCAGGACTTGGAAAGAGGAATCCTCCTCAGCGGATGTGCTCAGGGTGTGTGGTCCCATCAGGGATGAGTCCGCAGCCCACAGACCTGCAAATTGCACACTGCTATGAGATGCTCCAGGACGTCCAGGTTTGGTTGCCATTTTGATATGGGGATGAGATCCCTTGAACGAAAGAACAGAGCAGCCCTGATGCTGCTGGACCAGCTGCGTGATGGCTAAGGCAGCTGGAGCCACCTGGGTCCCTGGCTGCCATCAGTGGGACTGTCCCTCCCGGGATGATAGCCCTGAGCTCCCCCAGTGTCTGATTGCAGCCAACATGTCAAGCTCTTCCCAGTGCAAACCTTTTGACTGCATCTTGTAAAGGCTGTGCAGCAGATGGAGGGTCACGGGCGTGCGTGGCGCTGCTCACCAGGGAGGGAGAGCTTCAAAAAGTAAAAATCCGATGGAAAGCTGCCAGTGAAGTGAGCAGAACCAAAGCTTTGTCGACACGGATCAAACCAACACGGCCGTGTTTGTCTGCCGGCGTTCTCCCACCGCCGTGCTGTGTCACCTGGCTCCTCTGTCCTTCTGCAGCCTCCCAGCTCAGGTTTTAGTGATGGGAATGAATTCATCGGGCTGTCCAAATCATTTCCCATGCAGCATCTCTCTAATTGGGCATTAATTAGGCATTAGTTAATGAATGCTTGAAATAATTTATCTTTGGATGTGTCCAGTTTGCAGTCTTACTTTTAACAGCATTATACCCGTTATTAGATTAACATCGTTATAAATGTTCCCCATTACCTGCTTGTTTCCATTGTCTTAGCCTTATTACTGAGAGTGAAAATCACTCCTCCTGAATGCATTATTGATGAGTAAGGACTTTCTATATGCAGCGCGGGATTAATTGTTATACAGCGTAATGCATTTAGCATGAAGCCTTCATTTGTGCAAGAGCCGAAACGGCCAGAAGAATGCAGACGCCCAGAGACAGCGAGTTCATCCAGACACAGCAACGCTCCAGCGCAGCAGCAGAGATGCTGGCACCCGACATTCCAGCATTTTAACGCTTTGCTGAAGGAGCAGGGCCACTTATTTCCATCAGAAGTCCCCAGCTTGGAGCTGGGAGCTAGGACTGGCCCTGATGGGTCACCTCCAGCCCCAACATTTCACCTCTCTGCTATGTGGGTCACAGCTGCTGCTCCCCCAGCAGGATCTGCTCTTTGGGATGGAGTTCTCTCAAATCTCTCCTAAACCGCCATCTGCCTGGGGAGCCCAATCTTAGCTCATGTCTCCACGCAACTTGTCCGACTGCTCGCTGCGTCCATTACCGGTTCTGCCCAGGCTGTTAGATTTATAAGCTCTTTAGAGCAAAGCCCTCATCTTCTGGCTGCTGATTTATGGGTCTTTACTGCCATAAAACACTATGTATAGCTACTACATAATATAAATAATAATACTTAACCAGAGCAAGCTACAAGTGGGGACAAAGCATCTGCCTTCTGTTCGCACTCTGTGTTATCAAAGAGGCAGAAGCTCGCTCATCACTCACTCTTCTGAAGCCAAATTCGCACTTTGTGGAGCACCACCTGTAGACAGAGAGATCTTCCTGCCCCACCTGCACCCACACCTTTCAAAGGTGCTTTTTAAGTTGTCACTGGGCCACAACAATACAACTGTGACCCGAGGGGAAAATACACTTCAAAACTTCCATCCTCCTCCTAATAGCACCCACTTTCATGGGCTACGTCCTTCCATGAGGACAAATATCATTCCGAGGAGCCACTGCCTTCACCAGCTCACCTCAGCCACCCCCTGCATTGGACAAACCATAGCAGGATGGGTCTGTGGAGGATTCTCGTTGGATAACCCAACCGTCACACGGTTCTTTGCCTCACACTTCTTACTCCCTTTTGTGACGGCAGGAATTGCCATCATCCACCCAACCTTTCTTGGCAAATCAGGCTCAAACAGTGCTCTTGGTACTGTGTGCAAAGTTCCCTCCCCCCCCTACTTCAGAAACGAACTTTCTCACCATGACAAATTTGTTTGGGGGGAAAAAGGAGCCTCAAGCCTTCAGCACCAGCTGAAGGACGACGAAAGGCAATGCCTGAGCACAGAGCGCCACGGGGCGCGAGCTGAGAGCGCAGTTCAGATCTGGGACAGTTCGACACAGCAGTGTCAGACTTGTGGTTGGGAGCTGCCTATTTTTTTCCTTCTTTTTTTTTTTTCTTTTGCAATAAACAAACCATCCCTGGCTGTGACAAAGATCAAATTCCCCTGGCGAGCAGCAGCT